TGAGTAGCTTGGGAAGCTGGAGGGTGAGGTCCTTCCATCCGTTCCCATCCGGCCAGGTGGTCGATCCAGCGGGGATGCAGCTCAAGTAATGGGGGACGGGGGCGTTTGCACGATTCAATGCAGGGTCTATTTGGGCCGGTGGCTCCTTTTTGCCGCTTTCATGGTTGGGCCCCGCCTCGGCCGCAGGTTGTGCCTGGGCCTGCGTGCCTTTGCCATTTTGACGCGTTGGCTGCCTACCCGGGAGGAAGGGTCTGCGGGAAGCGGCCTCCCACTGGCGTTGAGCCAAGGGCCCCCTTCGCGTTCCTTTGCCCCGTGTTGCTGTGATGAAGCATCTTCCACCGAGAATGCCGTGCGGAGACATTTTTTACCTTGGAGAGCTGAGTAACTCTGGGCATAAGGAACTCTTGCAGTCGGCTGAGGTGAAAAGGCCCTGCTCTGTGCCGCGCGCTCGTCTTCACCATTTGGCTTTTGTTCTGTCCGCTCAGGTATCTCCAGGGACAACTGGCACAAGCGCCGCAAGACCGGGGGGAAGCGAAAGCCCTACCACAAGAAGAGGAAGTATGAGTTGGGGCGACCCCCTGCCAATACCAAAGTATGTGCTTGTAGCTCTAGTGAATAATTACTTGTGCAGCTAGCTGTCTCTTGTCTTTTTGATGCTCAGCTTATGACTGCAAAATCCCTGTTTAAATTAGAAAGCATATATATGTTTCTTGGAGTACTTGAGACCTCCATGCACTGCTCAGGACTCCTCAGTATTCGTTGCAGGGGTTCTTTGTTCTTGAGTAACCTGAAAGAGCACATTTTAAAATGCTGATCATATGGGATTATCCTAGTTTAGAGTCATCAAAGGTCCATGCTATAAAGGAGGTTCATGTTATAAAATATATTAATCTATTTTTGTGTGCTTGACCTGGAAGCAGCATGAATGTGCAAAAATTAGACTATCTTCAGAGTAGAACTCATAAATTATAACTTAATAAAAGTGTGCCCTTGAATTTCCCAGTAGTAACTGTTCTCCAGTTTATTTTTCTGACTGTGAGTAGCATGCAGCGATTCCTTTCTTGTACTTCTATGTATGAACCAGGATCCAGTCTCCTTTGTGTGCATTCAAGTACAGGGGCACTCTTGGTGGGATGCTTGACTTCAAGCAACTGAGGCACACCACAAATGTGCCATGTCACAAATTGCATCTGAATTTCCCCTTAGACTATAGTGCAGTATGAGGAGTTAAACACAAGTCCAAAGTCTGGTGTGCTGGAGTAGTCGCATAAATAAGTAGATCTGAACCATTATATTTGGAATGGGAGGCAACTGGAGTGATGAGAGCTACACCTTAGGTGGGTGCGAGACCGTTTTGGTCATTGTTGCACTCACCAATGCTAGGGGTTGTCATAGTTACACTGACCATGTTGCCATGTGGTTTGAGTATTTGTAAGAAGATTTTAGTGATGTGTATGTGTGTGGTTTGACCTAGTCTGTTCTGTTTTGTTGTAGATTGGCCCTAGGAGAATTCACACAGTAAGGGTACGTGGAGGGAATAAAAAATACCGTGCTCTGCGTCTCGATGTTGGAAACTTCTCTTGGGGGTCTGAATGTAAGTGCAAAATGGCTACTCTGTGTGGCATTAGCTAGGATTGTACATAACTAGTGATCTGGAAGCTAAAACAAGAGAACAGTGATGATAACTTTGACCTTAAGAGAGTTTTGGTGTATTCCTAAACTCTCTGTGATGGTAGTGTCATAGTTACCCTGAGTGAGTGCATTGTTGCTTCAAGGGCAGTTATGTAAATTTAAAGGGGAAACAAAATTGTTTGTATACTACATTTGAGGTGTATTTTCCCAAGAATTTTATTGTGTGAATTGATTTTGATCACAGATGCTGTTAAACATTGAGTAATGTTGTGAGATGTTAAAGATGGATTGAAAAACTTCAATTCTGTGGCCAAGGGACAAGAAGGGAGGAGGCCTGGTCTAAACATTTTGTGGCTACAGAGACAGTAACAGTCAAAGAAAATCCCCTGCTGCGAAAATCAAATACTGAGTGTACATTGAGTGTGATTCCTTATTGGTGCCTTAGAGTGCCTATTTGGGTTAGTCTGCCCAAAGTTTCTTACTTTATGGAAGTGTCAGATTACAATCTTGTTACTATTTTTTTCTAATTTGGTGGAGATTATTCACTTGATTGCAGATTCTGTATTTCCACCATTCCATATTTAATATTGAACTTGATCATTAAAATTTTGTGCAGATGGGCAATTGGAACACACCTTTTCATTAATTGGTTGTAGACCATTGGCTTATGACCAATATTCCAGACTATCTTCCAAAGGCAAAAGGTAATCATAAATTTAAAAACAGAAGGTACAGGCACACGTTCAGTTGACGTGGAACCTGGAACACGTGGGTTGTTTTCGACCTGGAAGGGGGCGGGGTGGGCTTATGTGCACTCTGCCAACGTGTGAAGGCCCAGAACGCAACCCATTCACAGACACGGAGTTGTTTGTAAAGCATTTGCCTTTCACAGAAAGGGATAAGTTCTACTGAAATCGGGAAATAGTGCACATTTCTAAGACTGCTTCTATGCTATTATTTTGTCTTATAGTAGTAAGTGCAGAAAATGCACCTTCCCTATGGTGCTGCTCTGTAACAGATTATATTTTTTTAAAGTTGAGGTTTGCAGAAAGAGTGGGTTGGTTAACCTAGGGTCTGGGGAAATTCTTTCCAAATTGTAGTACGCAAATTCCAATTTTCCTCATGATCTTTAAGTGGGTGTTTTAAAAGTAGATGTAATAGAAACTTCACAACTGTATTTTTAAAGCAGAAGCTGTACAGATCCTGCAAACTTCAACCTCCAAGGGGATTTCGGGGCCTATGGTTTTTATGTACATGAGAGGCTCTTTTGCCATGGATTTGTATTTTGCTCTTGGAATTTGTAACATGGTCTCTTGTTTTTACAGGCTGTACCCGCAAAACCAGAATCATTGACGTAGTGTACAATGCGTCTAACAATGAATTGGTGCGCACAAAGACCCTGGTCAAAAATTGCATTGTCCTCATTGACAGCACACCATACCGACAGTGGTATGAAGCCCACTATGCCTTGCCACTCGGGCGCAAAAAGGGTGCTAAGTTGGTATGTATTAAGTGGGCCTGCAGAGGCAGATGATTGTTCTGTGCTTTTTAATTGTTAAGCGTTCAGCCACTTTGCCCTGGAGTTTAGGGTTCTTCTGTCTTCTGGTGAGGATACCTTTGTCCAGTTCTGCTTCTGAATGGAGAGCGATGACAGACATTAATCTGAAGAAGACATCTGACCACCCTCCATTGTTGGTTCTTGTCCAGTTACAGCATCTCTTTGCTGATACAGGCACAGAAGTTTTGAATTAAAAATGCAGAAAGTTAAATGAATTCTTAATGTACACAGTGCTGGTACTGGCTCATTCTGTTACTTGTCACTTGGCCAGGTTCAGATCCTCAATATTGCAATCATAGAATTTTCAGAGTTGGAAGGGACCCCAAGGGTCATCTCGTCCAGCCCCCTGCAATGCAGGAATCTCAGCTAAAGCATCCATGACAGATGGCCATCCAACCTCTGTTTAAAAACCTCCAAGGACGGAGAGTCCACCAGAAAGCTTTTACAAATGTTTAGTCGGAATCTCCTTTCTTGGAACTTGAAGCCATTGGTTTGAGTCCTACCCTCCAGAGCAGGAGAAAACAAGCATGCTTCCTCCATGTGACAGCCCTTAAAATACTTGAAGATGGCTATCTCCTCTCAGTCTCCTCTTTTCCAGGCTAAACATACCCAGCTCATTCAAGCTCCTTCAATCACTTGTTAGTAAATTATATACTGCTTAATGCCAAATGAGACTTCTACGTTGGTTACAAAAACCAATTACATAAACATTAAATGGGTGAAATTATGGGAACTGACTATAAGTTGAACTCCTTCACACGCTTCTGCTCTTGTTCCAGACTCCTGAGGAAGAAGAAATCTTAAACAAGAAGCGTTCAAAGAAAATTCAGAAGAAGTATGATGAAAGAAAAAAGAATGCCAAGATCAGTAGTCTTCTGGAGGAGCAGTTCCAGCAAGGGAAGCTACTTGGTGAGACTCTGAAACAGAAAAGGGTGCTGTGTTTGCCAGTAGCCTAGGTGCTGTGGTGGGTGGATGCTGTTTGATCTTATAGTTATTATAAAGTTGCATTTTATTACCTTCAGGATTTCAGGAAACCCTGTGGTACTAATTCAGCGAATCGGACTTTGCATTGCTGATTTGCTCATTCAACTCTTGGAATAGTAGTTGGCAAAAGCTGAGGTACTCTACTAGAAAAGTGTTACAGGCTTTTCTCAACCACGATTGCCACATGTGTAAAGTCATTCAAGTGGCAGGCAACATTGTGTTCCCTGGTGTTTTGAAGTTGGCCTTGTGACGAAAACTTTGTCCAGTTCTGCTGCTGAATGCAAGTGGTGACAATTCAAATTCTGAAGGTGACTTCATCAGGATGGTTTTGGTGGTTCCTTAGACTTTGCAACTTGGGGAGGAGAGATGGTATGATCCACCCACCCCAATTTGGAAAAAAGATGGGTTCATTAGCATTAAATTGCTTTGTCTCAAGAGGTTAGCGATGATGTCCTGGCATGAAAGACTGGCAAGAAGTACATTACACAGGGAAAAGCAGCCCAGTTCTTCTTACTTGATACTTCCCCATTTCTAATATGATTTCGTTTTGCAGCTTGTATTGCCTCCCGGCCTGGGCAGTGTGGTCGAGCAGATGGATATCTTCTGGAAGGCAAGGAACTAGAATTCTACCTGAGGAAGATCAAAGCCAGGAAAGGCAAATGAACAGTCATTGTATCTAATGTGCTGAATAAATACCTACAGAGTCTTGTATAAATGATTGATGTGTTTATTTATGGATAGTGAGGCAAAGATTTGAGTATGGTTTACTGCGACCATGTGAACGTGTTGGTTGCTAGCGAGGAGCTCACACCTACTTTGCTTTCCCCCAGGATTTTTAAGTGATATGGGATGAAAGCTAATGCAAGGTCTGTCTTAATATGTCTTCTGAACCTGGGGTCCTAGTTAGGGTTTCTCCTTAACCATGATCTGTAGCTAAGGTTTGTCCTGTGGTTAAGGAGGAGAGACGTTAACCAGGATTCTGGGTTTGGACAAAATACTAAGCCAGACATTTGCTTAGCTGCTGTTCTACATTGATATTTAAAGCCCAGGGAGCAGTTGCAACCTCCTGTTTCGGAGCTAGTGCATTCACACTAAGTATGTTTGTATGGAAGTTTTTTTAAAAAATGAGTGAAAGTTGTTTGACTTGGAAGCGTTATCCGTGTTAAAAAGCACATGCTGTTTTAATGGTAGGGTCAGGCTTTTCCTTCCCACTATACTAAAATGCCACCCTTGGAGCGGTGATTTTGGCAGGCAGGATTGCTGAATGAGATTCTTCACGGTGTAGAATTGGTGGTTTCCATCTGCCATCAGGCATGCCTACTAATACTACTCCCTCCAACATGCATTAAGGGGGTGTGGGTTCACTTTTGTTTAGAATAGTAAATAAGTAACTAAGGACTTAATGACCATCAACCTGCCATGGCTGTTTCATTTGTTGAGTATTCTGTAGTATAACAGCAGCAATGTCAGCAAAGTTTTGCTTTGCATTTACTTCTTTGCTAAATTGCCCAATTCTTAAAGCTAATAACTGTCAAGTTTCCCTGAATAGGGTTGAAGCTCTATACTTAGTTATAATGAACTCTCATTATACAGTATGGCGCTATAAATGTCAGCAGCACAGGTGTGTTGTCTTCTATTTGTTCTCCCAGTTCCCTTGCAACATGAGCTTTGTAGTGTACACTTCAAAATATCCTGCTTTTGGTGGCCCCATGGCGAAAGATTTTCAGAGTCTTCATCCTCTTCCAATGCATAGCATATATTTCTAATGATTAGGTATGTGCACAGGGTATTAATGAATGGAAGCTGAGAAAATTATTAATGCGTTTGTTGTTGGCAGTTGAACTGCCAAAATTGGAAGCTGTTAGTTGAATTTTTTACATTATTACTACATTTAGCGACAAAACAACTGGTGCACTGCTAAGTGTCTAGATTGTCTTCTTCGTGACATTCTGGTCTCATTCCAGTGCAAGATTAACTCCCTTCTAGCAGAAGGGCCAGGCCTCTTTCCAAAAGTCTGGTCCTTTCGAAGGCTGGGAACAATACTATCTTCTAACAAGATACATTTTCATCAGTTTGAGAGGGTAAGGACAAGTTCTATGAATGGGAGCATGGATCTCTTAAGAACATACCTGACAAATAAATGGCTTGCTTATATGGGTTTGGACAGATAGCAAATCTCCAGACTTCCACATAACTTTACAGAAAGCATATGCAGCTAGATACAGTGCTCATCCCACTACTAAAATTTTACAGTAATAGTCTAAAATCAAAGTTGGAGTTAACTTTTATTCAGGAGATTATCCTAAGAAAGTTATTTTGTGTGTATAGCTCTAGGAATGCTCATGGTCAGATTTCAATGCTTTCATTCATAGCCCTTTCTCAGGCTGCACTTTCAAATATGCTTACTAAGAAGTAAGCCCCATTGACCTATTTACCAATAACTATGCATATTTATACTAATATGAGGGGGAGAGTAATCCTGTACATGCTTACTCAGAAGTAAATTATTTTGAGTTCATTAACTCAGGTAAATAAGTATAGGATTGCAGCCTTACAATAAACATTTTGAAAGTAAGCTTTAAATTTGTTTCATTGTGCTTCCCTAGAATTTCCTCCAATATTTCAGCTTAACCACACACATTTCTCTATTGAAAAAACCTTCCAGCTATTTATACAGCATGTAAAATTAACATTTCTTAGATTTGTTCGATAAATATAAAATAAACTAAAATCTTCAACTGAGTGCTGATTCCAAAAAGCTGCATCACTGCAAGTACCTGTTTATTCAAGCTTTTTTTTACCTGGTTCAAGGACAACCCTGCTAGATAAAAGGATGATGTTTGTATGTGTGTGCATATGTCTACTTTCTTCCCACAAGGGCCCACAAGGTAATTTCAGTGTGGAAACATTGCTTCGCAGCATGTGTTGGGCTAAACAAATATTTCAAATCCATAGATTGTTCCTACCCATAGGCGGTTGTCTTGGAGATATTTCCCGAGTGTGTGACTTTCAATATGAAAATGGGCAGCTGCAAATCTTTGGCATTAGTGTTTTTATCCCTTAATGTATGCGTGTTTAGATAGGGCAAGTTTCTCTTGTATGTACTGGACCCATGTGGCTTGAGTGGGACATTAGTCCTAAATTCTGCCTTAAAAGGATTGGGCCTTAGTTAGATGGTTGGTCACTGATACTGATCTCATCTGGGAGCTCCACCACGGTAATGCTGGGCAGCTCTTTTCTCAAATTCTCAGCGTTTGTGTTCTTATGGGGGACTTTGAGGTGGGAGCTAGGGGAGGAGGTTTCACTAAGCCTGGTCTCTCCATCCTCCATGTCTTCTTCATCGATGCGACCAACTGCTTCAGGATCTTCCCTGCGATAGAAGCTGGGGCTGGAAGAGGGGAAGGTGCCCTCAGTCCTTAGGCGCAGTAGCTGGGGATGCTGAATCCAACTGCCCTTGCCAAAATTTTTGAGGCTGACTGCAGGAGAGGCAGCTGCAGTGAGGAAGCGGTTGAGCAGGGGAGTCTGAATGCGGCTCATGCTGGGTGATGCTTCCACCTGCTGGCTCTGCTCTGGGTCATCGCTCATCCTGCAGAAGGGGAAGAAACTGGGTGAAGTAAACACACGCCTGATTGAAGCGCTGAAATTGGTCCATACCATCAGAATGGTCAGATTTCCTACTATGAAATTCAAAGGAAAATTATGTGACAGTGGGGTGGACGCATTCATTCAATCTTACCAAATGATCTGATATTGTTGTAGGTTCTTGTATCTCTAAAAAGTGGTTGGGCCCATTATCTAACCAGGATTTGGATTAGGCCACTTTGCCATTTTTGGATGTGGCCCTGTGTTGCTCACAGTATGCATCCTGTATTCACTATGCATTATGCAAATATTCCCTCTCAACACTGGATTCAGGGCTACTTGTAAAAGCTCTATAAGTAAAGGCTGAGATGGTAAAATGCATTCCAGGAAAATGGTCCCCTCCCTTATAGCTGATGGAAAAGATTGTATCTGGCAAGGTTGCCAGGCTCAGGTTGTCAGCCTTTTGCCATGGCAACATAGCTGAACTTACCGCATGTCAAAGGTAGAACCCATGAAGGAAGGTTTCAAGGTCTCTGCCACTGTGGCCATTGTGTACGGGGGCTGAGCTGTAGATTCATTCCAGTATTTGTCTTTTACAGTTGGTGGTAAGTTCTGATACATGTCATCCACTGAAAGCAAAGACACCTGAGCAGACAAAGGAATATTTCTCATCAAAGGAGACCTGCATAAGACTTGTAATTGCTTTAATTACAATTGTGCTTTAACACAAGGTTCTCAATAGGAAAAAGTATCAAAAGAACACCAGCAATATAAGAGGCAGCTAAAAAAAAATGCTTCTGTCTCCGATCGACAGTTGCACCCTTTATATTACTAAGATTGATTACATTTATTCATTGCTTTGTACAAAAAGTCTCAAAGTGACTTGCAAATCTGTAAAACAAAAATCAGTTAATAACCAGGGAAAAAGAAGATCCAATTAACAAGATCTTAGAGTGCTCCTTATGATACTACAAAAAGGACAAATTGCCTCACTCTTAAGTCTACTTTTTCTGTGTGTTACTAGAGATTTGAATTAAGCAATTGGTTGTCCCAATAAAAGGTGAACTGGGTTATGTCCAAGCCTACAAGGGGATCTTGTGTACTATCAAAGAAAGTATCCTGTCAAAAGTGTGGGAAGGGGAGCATTAATAGACAAACTGAATATTCAGGGCACTATATTCAGCATGTGGGTAAAGACAATTGATTCTTTGATATATGGTCTATTCTGCATCCATTGCTTTGCATAAAAAGTTTAGAGAAAGATAAAGGTTCAGACTGTGGATAGCAGAAATGGGAAAGAAGATATACACAGAGGTAGAACAGTATAGATGACAAATAGCTTACCAGAATTTTCAGGCCAGCATGGCAGTCATTAAGCATATTAAAAAATACCCAAACACCCAGGACACCAAGTTGTATGCTGGATATACCTGTGTGAAGTGTGACTAGGCCTTTGTTTTAAGACTCACTTGAAGGTTCCTGTCTATCAATTTGTTAGTTTCAAAGTCATCGTCATCCTCTCCGAAGGGATTAATTATCTGCTCTGCCACCTATAGGAAAAGAAAGGTGTAGCATTTCATATTTGAATGTGGGAGGCAACTGAGTGGCACTAGAGCTATCCTTTTTTGTAAATTTTAGCAGGCAGCCCTTCTAAGCACAGTCTCATCTAGCTTGTCTTCACTGCCAATGGCATTCTCTGGAAAACTGAGACAAACATTGCAAAGCATTCTGCTTTGATGTGATTAAAAAGTATTAGGTAGCTGAGCTGCTGTGTTGCATATACTAATACGCTTGCTAGTTCTTTGGGTGCTGGTTCCTATCCAAAATGACAGTGTGCATACACACACAAAACAGTGCTTGCAATCCAGAACAGTGAAGCTGCTGTATTTTAGCCATGTTCATGCCTGAACACACAAATGTTCAAACTGTGAATGGGGTGGGTGGCGTGTTGCACATGTAAGCCTTTAGCATCCCCATGTGCACGAAACCTCCCCCATTGAGATTTACTGGGGTCCTTGATCTTATGGAGGATTCTAGTCCAGTGGGCACCAGAAGTCCTCTGCAGACCTTCTGCACTCAACAGAAAGGCTGGGGACTGAGCATCCACAATCAGAACAGTTTACTTCTTCAGGTGAGCATCTGACTTGCACCTTCTGTTGCAAGTCTTTGCTCCCTTTATTTCCAGCATTTAGGCTGTGAGTGTTGTTTATGTAGGCAAATCATTACCACCCTGCTACAAGGAGAGGTAACAGCAGGCTGGGGGAACCTTACAGTGTGCAAAGGTTTAAAAGACCTTCAGGGTAGGGACCATAAGGGGGAGGAACCACAATAAACCAGCCCAACGAGGATTGCACATGCTCAGTCAGGATGCTGACTCAATGGCAGGGAGAGTGGAATTGAGACTGGAATGGAAGAACACCCACAGCCCACTTCTTTTTACAGTACTGTAAAATCCAGAAGGGACAGAATCTGCAGATGGGGACAGCCTCCTGAGCTCCTGAATCTTCCCATCTGTTTCAAACAATGCATGGGACTCGGTGCTCACACCAACTCTTGTCTCAGCACCCCATATCTTACAGTGGTACCTCGGGTTACATACGCTTCAGGTTACAGACTCCGCTAACCCAGAAATAGTACCTCGGGTTAAGAACTTTGCTTCAGGATGAGAACAGAAATCGTGCTCCGGCAGCGCAGCGGCAGCAGGAGGCCCCATTAGCTAAAGTGGTGCTTCAGGTTAAGAACACTTTCAGGTTAAGAATGGACCTCTGGAACGAATTAAGTACCGTACTTAACCCGAGGTACTACTGTAATCTGAAGACTGAAGATCAAGTCAAATGAAGCCATCTGCATGGAAAATGGGAGCCAACATCCTCACCTTCAGCCAACCAGCATAGAAGAAGAACTGTAGAAGAGTGGGTAAGGGAACATACAGATCTAGGTCCTCATCTTTTTTTGTCATTGTTTTGTTTTGACTTGGGTCCACAGGTTGTAGGAACTGACGCCCAATCACACACAAAGCAAAGAAGGAATAGACAGCGATGGTGACCACCTGTAGAGAAGCGGCTGTTAAACATTTGCCAGGGTTTCAAGAGAGCATCATGGAACTATGTTTTTCATTGCAGAAACCAAAACATTCTCCTACAGTACAGGAGCTCTGCACATTATGCGCTAGCATGTCCTGCGCACCCTACCAATTCAAAAACAATTAAACTGGTACTTTCACAAACTGATCTATTTCCTAGTTTGTTAGTCAGCTGTTTCCCAACGAACATCAAATATTTTGGAGCTGGAAACTTGTTCCTTTCTTGTGCAATAAAAAAATTAGATGTTAAATAAAACTAAGTAGAGTTGTGCTGTGGAGATGCACCAAGAGAGATTGAGAAAGTGTATGGGAAAAGTAACCTTTAGTCTACTTGTAGGAACAAAACTGCTACTGAGAGATGAGCATTGAGATGTGCAAGAGTATCCAGAGGGTGTGGAGTGCTCCTTGCTCACCTGTGTGTACACCAAGGGGATGCTTATCCAGTCATAGTGGAAAAGCATGCTGCATTTGGAGCGGTAGAGGTTCAGTTCCTGGACAGAGAAAGACAGGTGGTTATTTCACGTTTGCACAGCTGGTCAAGCAATTCCACTGCAATACTTACATCTATGAGCAATCTGAGCGCCACGTCATCCCGGATCCTTCCTTCCCGCCTGGCTTGGGCTGCTAGATTAGTGAACCACACACAAGGGATCCAATACTTGTTGAAGTCTGAGTGGTGACTCTCATACTTCTTGCGCTCATCTTGTGTCATGAAACCTGCAAGAGAGCAAGGGAAAGTTGGAGCACTGCCTCTCCATCTGCTCCTTGATACTGGGAAGAGCTTCAGGGGCCACCAGTCAGTGACACTGGGTCCTAATAAGTTCTGGTGGAATAATCTCTTGATCCCTGTGGCACCTTAGAAAGACTAATAAAAGTAGACTCCCAGACCATCCTGTTCATTTCCCCAAGTTAAACTCACCAGCTTCAACTAAGTGGTCCATAGTGGGGAATCTTTTAAGGACTCTAGCGCTGACCGAGCGCAGGATGAGCACAGAGGAGAGGTTGGCGTAACGGATGAGAGTGCGGCGCAAGATGCGGCCCTTGTCATCCTTCCCATGCACATTGCTGGAAATGACGCACATGAGCTGGTCTGGCAGAGGAATGCTGGTATACTGCGCCCACCAGCGGTTCACAATCAGTGTGACATAGAAACCTGCCAGGAGAGAGAGGTGGTAGGGGCATTAGCAGGGATGAGGGATGAGGACTTGGAAACAGTGAGAGAGCATGAGGCAAGGTCATCAGGCATAATGCACTGCCTCCATTTTAGCACGTTGGCACTGAGAGCAGAAACATTCTACCCATTTGAGCTCTAGGAGTTGGTTAACTTGTCAAATAATTTTGTTAAGGAATTGTTAAAGAAGTTATCTGTATGACACAAGACAAAATTTCACTCCCCTTTTTGTTGGTTGGTCATCTTTACAAAAGAAGCAAAAACATTTATGAAAGCTACAAAACTAAAGATTTATGAAGTTGTCAAATTATTTTTTACATTTAGAATTTGGTAATGAAAAGTTTCAGTATACTGTGTACCTCAGAGCTTGCTATTTCTTGTTAGGCAAATAAAATTCTTTAATACTTAGTGCAGAAGTCTGCAATCACAATTTAGAGGCAGTTTGTTTACAAAAATTCTTCAAAGAGTCCACACATGTTAATGGTGGGAACCATTTCTCTAGGAAATTGCCAGGGTGTTTAGGATTTGTCATAATCTTCAATTGAGTACCGATCTTATCTGCTGAAATTTCACTCTTTTTAAAAGAGTTAACACTCTTGGAAAGAAATAAGAGCATTTTTCAGGCTGTGGCTGAATCAAAAACCAAACAGCAGCCATACAAAAGAGGAAAGTGCAAAGAGTTATATTTATCAATATTCAGGGATTCTGGCAGGCATGGAGGCAAAACCAACCCTTGCTCTTATCTATATTTGCACATATTAACAAAAGATCAACACATTCAAAACCACGGGGTTTCCCCCCTGCCCTTCCATTTTCCCTTCTTGAAGCTTTCCTATGCGGGGGGGGGGGGGGAATGGTATGTTTCCCATCCAGGCAAAGAACAAGAGGGTTCCTCTTCCTACCCCACCTGCATATTGCATGTACGGAAACAGAGTCAACAACAGTACTGATGTGGCAGCAACCTCAACCATGCCTGAAGGCTAGCTTAGGAAGTGCAGGGCAGGCCCCATGGTACACACAGATCTCTGCCTTCTAACACCTCAACTCTGGTCCTTAGTCCTCAGCATCTTCTGCCTGAGGCAGTTGCCCCATCTGCCTAATAGAAGGGTTGTCCCATCTTACCCTTCCCTTCCAATGCTTGCTATGGCATGATATAGGCTTCTTGGAAGCTCAAAAGAACACCTGGCCTGTGTGGAGAATCATTGTTTACTCCTTCCAGTGCCTTCCTTCTAGGAATAGCAAGTCCACACCTAATAATTCAGGGTAGGGAGAACTGCAGTTTTACTTCAGTTGACCTTTTACAGTAAAGTTTTGCAAAGGCAATGAAAATTCACAAGGGAATCATTTTTAAGCAGATCAATTTAGGCTTGCATTTCTGATATAGACTCTTCTAATGCGAAAACTAGGTCTGTTTACTCAGGAGAGTCAGGCATGTTCATTGTGCTTTTTTGCAGCCCTAGCTGTACATCATTTAGACATAAACTCTCTCACCTGTCAAGCTGTCACTTCCTTTTCCATTTTAATTATCCATCGCCTACTTTTTCACTTCCCTTTTTTCATTTTGTGACACCACTCACAATTCTTTTTTCGTGATGTTGTGTTTGCTGCATTAATCTCACTTTCACACACACACACACACACACACACACACACACAAAACATCAGGGTCAGCCTCCGCAGTAATTCAGAGCAAGACTTTTAGAGTGGTCTATGGCAAGAGTCCTTCAGATCATCTGACCCCTCATTCACTCCTGGATGCATACCATGAGCTCTGCCACTGATTTGTGGTACCTCCCAATGGGAAATAATTTGGGATTCTGTGCAATCGAAAGATTAAAGGGGCTTTTACCAAATGCATGCATCTGGTCTTAATTAAAGCAAGCAATCAAGAAACCATAGCAACAAGGCCTCCTAGAGCAGGTACATAATCATACCTAGGACAAAGGACAGAGGGATGAGGTCAGTTGAGCGGTTGCAGTATTCAGCCACCTTTGCAAAGAGACGTTTCTGATCCACATTCAGAAGGTGCCTACAGGAGATGGGGAAGAATTGAAGGCTTGAACTCTCTCATGATATAAACATTATTCTTCAATCAAACAGGAGCCAGGGCTCTTCTCTGTCCCTGCCAAAGCAATCCCTCTGCTTGGTTAAGTACCAAAATAACTGTCACTATGGCAAACAATAGGATTCTTTCTAGGATACAAGGAATATTAAAACAACAACTGCAACACTAATACCACCGGCAACAGATTTCACCAGCAGGTCCCAGGGCTTGTTACAACTATTTAAAATTCTGTATTAAAAGCAGCTAAAACAAATTGCAGTCACAGGAATAGAGTACTGTAGGTCCAAAAAATACACAGCACTGGTATCAAAGGCCAGATACAGAGGTGTATCTTCAGCATTTGCTAAGAGCTATATAAAGAACATGGGGACATGGGTGGCACTGTGGATTAAACCACAGAGCCTAGGACTTGCCGATCAGAAGGTTGGCGGTTCGAATCCCCATGATGGGGTGAGCTCCCATTGCTCGGTTCCTGCTCCTGCCAACCTAGCTGTTCGAAAGCACGTCAAAGTGCAAGTAGATAAATAGGTACCGTTCCAGCGGGAAGGTAAATGGCGTGTCCGTGTGCTGCTCTGGTTCACCAGAAGCGACTTAGTCATGCTGGCCACATGACCTGGAAGCTGTACACCAGCTCCCTCGGGTAGTAAAGCGAGATGAGCGCCGCAACCCCCAAGTCGGCCACGACTGGACCTAGTGGTCAGGGGTCCCTTTACCTTATATAAAGAACATGCCAGACACACCCCTGTGGGGTGGGACCTCCACATCTTAGGGGCTGCTACAGATAATGCCTTCTTGGGAAGGTGGTACCCCTCAAACCCTCAAAGCCCTACCAAGAGGACTCTGCTGATTTAAACACTCCATCAATTCTGACATTGGTGGTCTTTCAGATATTTGGGGCTCAAGTCATTTATGGGTTGCAGGGCATGAGCCTCTAGGCATAAATGTGGCAGTCTCTGTAGTCTAAGCTCTACCCTTATCAGCAGAATCCAACAATACCCCACTTACCCATCCTGGCCAACTAATAATGTTCAGGGGAAACAGATTCTCCTGAATGTTAGAACAATTTGATTTATTTACTAGAATGATTACTATTACTATTACTATTACTATTACTTTATTTATATGTCTCCCATCTGACTGGGTTGGCCCAGTCCGGGTGGCTCCCAACAAAATATTAAAAACACAATATTTAAAACACATGAGGGCAACCCATAGCCCTTTGCAGGCTATCTGTGCAGCCCACTGCAGGTATTCAGTCTGCCTCCCACAGCCAAATTTGCCCCTTGTGCACTGCCAAATTTTGCTCCAGGGCTGGCAGGGGTGGGGGTGGGGAGCACCATGTATTTGGTTCTCCTTGCAGCCCATTTGGTGGTCTGGAAAGAGCATGATTGTGATGGGAAGAAAGCCTGGAGAGTCACCCCCATGTAAATGACCTGGTGGGCTGAGTGGAATGCAACTTTAATGGAGAGAAAGGCCCAGCAAGAAAGTCACCCCCGGGAGCCTTCCTCCCCACTAAACAGTCTAATTCTGAGGTTGGTTTAAAGGGGGGCAAGCAGATTGGTAAGGAAGCTCTGAAAGTTGAGAGCAAAAGTACCACAAAAGAACAGCAATTTTACGTTCTTCAACCATTTCAGACATCTTTGACAATGTCCCCCTGGAGAGGTTTCATTCCATTAAACAGGATATTGCCAACTTACCGGTAGATGACACTTAGTGTTCCGTAAAGCAAGACGAAGACAATGAACTCCTTGTAGAGCAGCTTGTAGATGCTCCCTTTCCAACGAAAAAGTAGCTTGGAGAAGCCCCCAAAGCGAGCATTGGCCACTTTCAAGGTGTAGGAGACTGTCATGGCTGCCTTGTCTATGCCTCATGCAGGCACCAGCTGAGACACAGAGAGAAATAACACCCAGGGAGGAAAATATCACTTCTCTTTTCTCTCCTGCCACCTTGATTATGGGAAGCTAAGTGCAGGGCTGGACCTACCGGGAGCTGCATTGAGCCACAGGGCTTAGGCAACAAATTGGGAGAGGCGGTGAATCGTGGGCCAAATCTCCCGCCCATAGAGCTGCCTGCGAATGATTGGTCAGCCAGCGGGTCACTGAAGCTACTGTACAATCTGTTCACCACTCTTCTTCCCTTCCACCTTCACCTGCTCAACTGATCAGCTGCTCAATTGATCACCCACCTGCTGCTAACAAAGTAACTGTAAGAGCACTCCAGGCATTATTCTGAGGGAAGGGTTCTCGCTCACCCATTCATCGTTGACAAAGTGGTGGCAGTGTGAGCACCCTGGACCTCAGTCTGAGGAAGGGGTCTTCCCTCAGAGTGTGGCATTGTGGGACAGGCCATCCAGGTGCGTCCTAGTGCTGCTGTCACTTTTATACAGCAGTGGCAAGTGAAGTTAGCATTTTAAATCACTTGAAGACATCTAAGGTTTTGGGTGATTTCACACAGTAGTTTGCCAAGATGGCCCTGCTTAAAAGTTGGTAGTCGGTACAAAGAATCAGTCACATATCAGAAGGGACATTTACTTCACCATGAGATCTTCTGCAGGAATGGTTTTTGCACAGTGCTATTTTTCTAGAAAAAGAGGTGGCTGGAACTCACCATGCCTGCCTCCTTTGTTTTCTGGCACCCACCTGACAGGTGCAGAAACAGAGTTCCGGCAAGTTCCGGCTGAAAAAAGCCCTGACTGTGCACAAGCTGTTTTGTGTGTGCTTGCCTTATTCAAGGGACTTATTAAAGGGCCACCAACTGCACCCATTTCTTACATCCAGATAATCTGACCTTTTTCTAGCCACAGTTCTTTCCATTTTCACAATTACCCATCAGCTTGAGGGGCAACAGTTCTTTTCTGGTGATCCAAATAAATGGCTGTTCTCTGTGGCCTAGCAGCAGAATTATACAGGAAAAGGAGTCCCACCACACAACATGTTTTGCAATCTTTCCAGAGAGTGTTGGCATGTGTGCAACATGTAAGTGGCCCCTTCCTAGAGGAAATTTCCTTTTTTCCTTTTTTCTTTCCCAGAATAGCTTATGTTTTATGCCATGTACTTTGATATTTTTTGTAGTCTTTTTTAGCTTTTTCCATTTTTATTATTAATGATTTTTCTTTTGGTTGTTTTTATTTATCTGTATTTGTTTAAAGTGCAATAAAAGTATATATAAAAAGAATAGAATAGAATAGACATAATAGGCATAAGAACTAAACAAGATCAAGGACCTGTATTTTTACTGTGATAGGAACATAATCAGAGTCCTGCAGGATCAGGCAAATGGCCCATCTAGTCCACTATTCCGTTTCCCAAACATGCTCTTGGGAGGCCCAGAAGCAAGACATGAGAGCAACAGTCCTCTCTCAGGGTTGTTCCCCAGCAACTGGTATGCATAGGCAAGGGGGGTGGTGTCAGATCCTGGAGGTGGCATGTACCCAATAAAAAAAGTATACAGCCAATAAAGGTGTCAATAAAACACTACCGAACTGAGTGCTTCCCATGTGAGGCTAGATTTCACTACAATTAAAATAAATGAGGAGAAGAAAGCAGTAATTAGAGCCTCCTGCATGAGACAGGGCTTTTCAGTGGTGGATATATATGCAATTTATCACTAATTCCCCGACTCCTGTTCATTGGAAAGCAATAAAACAGGAAGGGTTTAATTAAAGGCACAAGAACAGTTAAAAGCCTCAGTCCTGCATTGCCTGTCCACACAGGTCAAGCTGGTGCTGCCTTTGAATTTTATAACCAAAAGAAAATTGCAAGAAAACTGGGTGTGGAAGAAACCGTAGAGGACTACACAGAAAACACTAGAACGCAATGAACTGAGATCATCATCATCAAATGGGTGTTCTATAAAAAGAGAGTGAACAGGTAATGGCAATCTCAAGGGGGCAGGAACTGCTAAATGTGGTAGCAAAGCAAGCCTCAGCTTTTACACCGTTGCCAGGGATTACAGCTAATTTGTTGTTGTTTAGTCATTTAGTCGTGTCCGACTCTTTGTGACCCCATGGACCAGAGCACGCCAGGCACTCCTGTCTTCCACTGCCTCCCGCAGTTTGGTCAGACTCATGTTGGTAGCTTCGATAACATTGTCCAACCATCTCGTCCTCTGTCGTCCCCTTCTCCTTGTGCCCTCCATCTTTCCCAGCATCAGGGTCTTTTCCAGGGAGTCTTCTCTTCTCATGAGCTGGCCAAAGTATTGGAGCCTCAGCTTCACGATCTGTCCTTCCAGTGAGCACTCAGGGCTGATTTCCTTAAGAATGGATAGGTTTGTTCTCCTTGCAGTCCATGGGACTCTCAAGAGTCTCCTCCAGCACCATAATTCAAAAGCATCAATTCTTCGGCGATCAGCCTCCTTTATGGTCCAGCTCTCACTTCCATACAACACTACTGGGAAAACCATGGCTTTAACTATACGGACCTTTGTTGGCAAGGTGATGTCTCTGCTTTTTAAGATGCTGTCTAGGTTTGCCATCGCCTTTCTCCCAGGGAGCAGGCGTCTTTTAATTTCGTGACTGCTGTCACCATCTGCAGTGATCATGGAGCCCAAGAAAGTAAAATCTCTCACTGCCTCCATTTCTTCCCCTTCTATTTGCCAGGAGGTGATGGGACCAGTGGCCATGATCTTCGTTTTTTTGATGTTGAGCTTCAGACCATATTTTGCGCTCTCCTCTTTCACCCTCATTAAAAGGTTCTTTAATTCCTCCACACTTTCTGCCATCAAGGTTGTGTCATCTGCATATCTGAGGTGTTGATATTTCTTCCGGCAATCTTAATTCCGGCTAGCAATTCATCCAGCCCAGCCTTTCACATGATGAATTCTGCATATAAGTTAAATAGGCAGGGGGACAATATACAGCCTTGCCATACTCCTTTCCCAATTTTTAACCAATCAGTTGTTCCATATCCAGTTCTAACTGTAGCTTCTTGTCCTACATAGAGATTTCTCAGTGGACAGATGAGGTGATCAGGCACTCCCATTTCTTTAAGAACTTGCCATAGTTTGCTGTGGTCGACACAGTCAAAGGCTTTTGCATAGTCAATGAAGCAGAAGTAGATGTCTTTCTGGAACTCTCTAGCTTCCTCCATAATCCAGCGCATGTTTGCAATTTGGTCCCTGGTTCCTCTGCCTCTTCTAAATCCAGCTTGCACTTCTGGGAATTCTCGGTCCAAATATTACAGCTAATAGGGTTGCCATATTTCAAAAAGTGAAAACCGGACACAAAAAACTGTTGAACCAAATCTCCCAAAAACATTTAAAGCTATTTTGGGGGAAATTCACAAAAAATCAACACTTCTGATACGGGCTGCTATTGGACATTTTGACCAATTTTCAAACTTTGCGCCCAGACACTATTTTTGACAGCCAAATCCCAGATATTTCCAGGAAATTCCAGACATATGGCAGCTCTAATACTACTACCATAGCTGTCAACTTTTCCCTTTTCTTGCGAGGAATCCTACTTGGAATAAGGGGATTTCCCTTTTAAAAAAGGAAAAGTTGACAGCTATGTACTACTACTCATGTCTGGAAGCCAAGGAACAGTGAGCTCTGTCTGGAGAGATACTGAAGCTTTCCTCACCTCCTGAGAAACAACAGTGGAGGTGAACCAGGGGGTGATCTAAGAAGGTAAATAGGAGGAGACGAGAGAGTAACTCAGATTTTAAGGTCCACAAAAACATAGCAGGCAGCATAAGATGACTTTCCATAGGCCGCAATCCTAGGCACACTTACAATGGAGTAAGTCCCATTGAAACCAAAGGGCCTTATTTTGGTGTAAACATGCTTAGACTTGCACTGTGAGTCTCAGAATTACATGCAATCTTGAGCAAGACAGCTGCTGAGACACATGGAGAAATGAAAGGCTGCTTGCATGGCTAGCCCAGCGCTGGAGCTGCTGCATGTGAGAGAGAGCTCCTCTGCCTTTGGCTTACTAAGTGGATATTCAGCAGGCGTGAGCAGCTTTAGATAAAACTATTGCTGTCACTGTTAGGTTTCTACTGCCATTCGGTCAATAAAGGCACAGGAGCTTTGCTTAGGGCAGAGTGGAAGAGTGGAGTGGCAACCGCAAAGTGACAATACCTCCCTGATGAAGAGAAGCTAGAACTTCTAACCTGTCCTGGGAGTTCAGTTGAGGCTGGTTATAACTGTCTCACTAATGCAGAGAAAGAAGAAAAGCTGTTACCCACTTCCTTTAAATATCTTACTCATGGTAAATAAACTAGACTGCTCAGAATGATCGATGGTGGGGCTGTTAGTAGCCCAAGAACAGGGAACTGTGTAAATGCCTATGTGATGTTCATGGTTATAATTTACTTTTGTGAAAATTAAGCCATAGATGGAAATTCCATTCTAATTTATTTATTACATTTACACCTCACCTTTTTTTCTAAAGAGCTTAAGGAAGTGTTCTCTTCTCCCTTCCCCCACTTTTACAGCAGGCCTGCCTCTAAATGGGACCAAGTTCAATGTGTTACTATTAGAACTTAGCAAGTTGGGACTAGTTTACTTGTGGGATCGCCTTACCCTATATATGCCCACTTGAGTGCTTTGCTCTGCAGAACTGGCACTGCTACATCTGCCATACAGTACTCATTCTCTAAGAAACCGATCTTTTAGTGTGGCACTTTGGAATTCCCTGACAATTGACACCAGGCAGGGACTTTCACTGTCCTCTTTCCAATGCCTGCTTAAAACATTTTTGTTTAGGCAAGCTTATGCAGACGTGTAGAAGTTACACGTGTTTTCATTGTTGTTTAGTTTTTGCTGCTTTAAAGTAGTTTTTGAACATTTTTAAAGACCAGCTTTTAACTTCAATTTTTAATTATTTTTTGTAAATTCACTTGATGTTTTATGACAATCAAGCAGTATATGAATTATGTTAAATAAATAAGTAAACAAACGAAAACCTTAAAGACTACTGATGCTTCAAGACACCAGGTATGTCTGTAATGTATATCACATCAATACTACTCCAAGCCATGTGTGCTCTTGTCTGTACAGATCATGCAATCATGTGCTGTGTTCATTCTGGTAAGGTTTCCACAATTCCAAACTAACGCAACCGTCATTGTGAGAAGCTGATCTCCGGGTGCAGCCTTAGGCACTCATCACACTTACAGGATGAGCATGTGTCTATGTGTATAAAGAACATAGCCACATAAATAGGTGTGCATTGCCAGTGCATTGCTGTGACCTTAGCTTTTCTGGATCTCCATTAATGAGTGACCAGGGTTTCAGCCAAAGAATGTTAATATTCCTTAATGTGTTCCTTATGGTTTCAGCACTAAAGGCATTTTTGTTTTGATGAAAAGATGGGGGGAGGAACCATAATAAAATAATAGCAGAAAGGGAAGACACAGCGGATCTGATCACAGTTCTTCCCTCATCCTCAGCTCACTCACTGGACATCTACAAAAGGGCTGTGGATTAACCTGCATCAGACAGCCTGGTGCCAGAAACAGAGAACAGGAGTGAGCAAGGAGCATTAGCTCAGAAACACCTGCCTGCAGGAGACCTACATCATCGTTCATTGATTCTCATTTCACACCCTGTCATAGTAACTTGTTGCTAACAGTTGTCTCTGAAGAATGGATGAAATATATCCTCTGTGAAAATTCCCCTGGGAAACATAGCTGGACTTTACACAGATAATGAATTTACAGCTCCGCGGTGTCATAAAGAAGTAATTTATCCCACGGGGATGTAGGCTTGGATGGCAATGGTTATTGCTGCTTGTAAATCCATCCTTCAAGAGAGCTTTCTCATTTGCTTTAGGGAAGGGTCGTAGTTCAGTAGCAGAGTTGAGGCAGAAGGTCCCAAGGTTCAATCCACAGCATCTCCAGGTAGGGCTGCAATTGTTCCTTTCCTGAAACCATGGAAAGCCACTGCCAGCCAGCATGGACAGTACTGAGCTAGATAGACAAATGGCCTGACTCTGTGCAAGGCAGTATTTGTCATAAGCAGAATGTTGCTGATCTAAATCTACGGTAATTTATCAGTTCTTCTTCAGGATTAAAGCAAACTCACCTGTTTCCCACCTGTCCCTCTTGTTTCAGAGTTCAGCTATCTGAAGATTGTTGGATAATTTAAGTAATGCCTTTCAAAATTACAATGAATTATTTACCCCAGCCAGTTCCGATGTGTGTGTGTGTGGGGGGGAGGGTAGTAAGAGGAAGCATTAAAGCAGAGCTGACCAAATTACATCCACAAAAGTTGTGACACAATTGTGGTTTGGATTGCATTAGGCTAAGTTGTGGTGGGTGGGTGGTATTGCCTGGTAGGACAGAGCATATTCCATAGTTGTAGATCTTTGATGAGAAGAGCATATTTTGCAGATATAGTAAGTCATTAATGTTGCACCTGCTGAATGTCTGTCTCAATAGGCAAATCCCACCCAGTTGTTCCACAATGCCTCATTCTGAGTAAGGGTGCAGAAAAAGGAGGAGGTGGAGTGGCAGGGCCATCATTTGCTGGTCCTCCTCAGGTGGCAAAATGTCTTGGGCCATCTCCATTCATATAACAGCAATACGAAAGCAAGAAAAAGACACGCTTTTGCATCTTTGTTAAACTCTTACAAAAGGTAGAACATAGCCATTTATTCCATGTTATTTACATTCCCCCCCCCATACACTAGTATTCTTTTCTTCTCTTTTTGAAAGGGATGCAGTCCAGAAAGATCATAGATTGAATAGTTTACTGCAGAAGTTAGATCAGGACAAAAATATATGTTAAGTCTTTTACATTCAGTGTATTGTGGTTTATAACGATGGGGAGTTAAGATGCCAGTGTCTCTTTGGGAAGCAGAGCTGTCATATGGAATACATTTATACAGCTATACATCTTGCTCTTGAGAAAACCGGGAAGCATTGCAACACGGCAGAAAGAGCTTTACAATATCACAATTCAAGGACACAGTCTAGCCAGCACTTGAGGTGCCAGAGAGGTGCCAGGGGGCCAGAGAGAGAGAGATGCATTAGACACCCTGCAGGCCTGAGGTGCCTCATCCTCAGCCTAGAACAGGGTTTCCCAAACTTGGGTCTCCAGCTGTTTTTGGACTACAATTCCCATCATCCCTGACCACTGGTCCTGCTAGCTAGGGATGATGGGAGCTGTAGTTCAACAACAGCTGGAGACCCTGGCCTAGACCCTGACAAAACCTGCTGAGGACATTTTATGCCTTGAGGTACAGTACGTTCTCTCTCTCAATTCCACATACACAATTAGATTGCTGGCAACTGAATTTTATCTTCACATTGGTGGCATCTCAGTATCCTCTAAAGCAGCTGATGGGGCAACACCCCTACGGGGAAAGGCTGCAGCATTTGAGACGTTTTAGGTGACATGGCAGAAGTTTATGAAATTATACATCATGTGAAGAAAGCGGATAGAAAAATGTTCTTTCTCTGTCATAACATTAGAACTCGTGGACATCCAATGAAGCTGAATGTTGGAGGGCAGATAAAAGTGCTTCTTCATGCAGTGCACAGTTAAGCTATGGAATTAGCTACCAAGAGGAGGCAGTGATGGTCACGAACTTAGGTGGCTTCAAGAAAGCATTAGACAAATATATGGAGGACAAGGCTATTGATGGCTAGTAGGCATGATGGTCCGTATAGTAAAAGCTATGGTTTTCCCAGTAGTGATGTATGGAAGTGAGAGCTGGACCATAAAGAAGGCTGATCGCCGAAGAATTGATGCTTTTGAATTATGGTGCTGGAGAAGACTCTTGAGAGTCCCATGGACTGCAAGAAGATCAAACCTATCCATTCTTAAGGAAATCAGCCCTGAGTGCTCACTGGAAGGACAGATCGTGAAGCTGAGGCTCTAATACTTTGGCCACCTCATGAGAAGAGAAGACTCCCTGGAAAAGACCCTGATGTTGGGAAAGATGGAGGGCACAAGGAGAAGGGGATGACAGAGGACGAGATGGTTGGACAGTGTTCTTGGAGCTACCAGCATGAGTTTGACCAAACTGCGGGAGGCAGTGGAAGACAGGAGTGCCTGGCGTGCTCTGGTCCGTGGGGTCACGTGGAGTCGGACACGACTAAACGACTAAACAACAACAAGAAGCCATGATGGTTATGTGCTGCCTTTATAGTCAGAGGCAGTAATGCTTATGAGAGTAGAAGCCCAGCTTAGGAAGCTTGGCACACACCACGCTGTCTACCAACTTCTTGCTACTGATCTGCGCCCCCAGCATCTGCTACCTGAGGTACTTGCCTCTGTCTGGCAAATGGAAGGGCCGGTGCTGAGAAGGGGAATTCTGCCAGTTGTGGCTTCTCCTGCCAATGGCAGTCCTAAGGGGAAAACATGAAACAAGAACTCTCTCTGTGTGTGAGTTTCATATGTTGATTTCTCCTAACCAGCCACTCTAGTTTCATTAACCTCTGTGCCACATAAATTTCTGTGATGCTCAGCTGCTGAATCATAAAAGCAGAAGAGGCCAAAACACCATCTTTAAAACAAGAGGCAGGACCACCCACCCACCTACCTGTCACCCCAGATCAGGCTACATGTATAGCAAGTTCCATGAGAATAAACAGAAGGAAACGAATGCACTTAACTTAGATCAGAGAAATGTTAATTGGATGTAGTGAAAATATGCTGAAAAGGTTTTTCAATGTTTAGAAGGACGGCAGAAAGAAAGGTGGCTATGTGCAGACCTCTCCACTAGATGTCACTCTCCTCCTTGCAGAGGAAACCTGAGCCTTTAAATAACTGGAGGAGATTCCTGGAATGCAGAGCCCATCTATGACTGGTGTTTGACAGGGAAAGAAACTGCAGAGACCAGCTCACACAGCAGAAAAGGAGGTCAGTGAAGAGGGTTTGGGGATTTAGGTGGGAGCTTCAGGCAAAGCCAGGCAGGGATATGTAATACCCCCCCAAAAAATCTAAAAATGCCAAAAAATTCTCTAAATAAAATGGAAGATTAAAAAATAATGGGCACAGCTGTTATCCTGTCCCAGTTTGCAACCTTCATCCCTGCTCATATGGGCTCCCCGCTGCCCCCAAGTCTTGTGTTCTGCATCTTATTTCCTGGAAGGAGGCTAGATCATGAGAAATCTTCACCTCTACTGGAAACTGCAATGCAATTTTTTAAAAAAATAATTCTATCAAAGGGCTAGAAACCGCAGCTCATACTGTCCCTCCCTCACACACCCCCAAACTGGAACAGACCCTAATACAAATGTTCTTCTAGGCATATTAACAACAACACCTGTGTCATTCCAAAGGCTCAGAAGAAAGAAGAACAAATCCCGGAACACAAAATCATTTACAAGAGAACTCTCATTATTTGGGAAGTTTGCATAATGTTGGGAGCTGGTGGTCCTGCGGCCCCTTTCATAAACTGGATAAGAATTAGCCTATTTTGTGTTCTTATCATACTATGGATCAACAAGCAGCCTCAGCAAAGGTCAATATTCTCATATTCCATGTGGTCCGAGTCCTCCAGTTCAATGCCTGGAACCAGGTTGTAATAATCTACCGACTGGTTCATATAGAGCTTTTCACGGTCTGCAGAATCCTTCAGAACGTCTGTCACACTCACTGTCTCGGCTTCAGACTCCCCACCTGTGTAACCCTCCTCTGCAACGGTCGGTTTTTTGGATCCCGACTTATCTTGCTCAAGGCTTTCCCCATTGGCCTTCACCAAGGAATCATCAGAAGCCCCCAGTTTGATCTCCACCTCTTCATAGAGGTCCCTGCTGCTCCCTAGTAGTGCAGCTGAAGGCTTAAGCAAGACCTGGTTCCTCAACAAGATGTTCTTCTCGCTCTCTGCAGCTGATGCCATAGGCAGCTCACATGGGATGTAGCAGTGATGGTCCCCAGGCTCTTTGGAACCGTTCCTCTCCACTGTAGCCAGCCGGCATTCCTTCCCGGCGTGAGGATGGTAGCTGGTTTTCTTCTGCCGCTTGCAAAAGCACCAGGTGACCAGAACCAGAATAGCCACCACAGGCAGGCAAACAAAGAGAGCCGTTAGGCTATGGTTCCTGCACACCTCCTGCTTAGGGATATCTCTGAGATTCATGCCATGGTAACGTTCTGGGGTGCTACAAGCCACCTCAACGTTCAATGGTGCAGGTAGGCATTTTTCCAGATCTTCAAGCAAGCTGCAAGTACAGTGCCAGCTGTTGTTGGAGAGACCTAGCGTGAGGAGGGAGGGTTTGAAAATCCCCGAGGGAAGGGAAGACAAGTTATTGAAGGCAAGGTGGATCTCCTGGATTTGGTCAGATGCTTTCAGGAATGACTCAGGCAGCTTCTGGAGTTGGTTGCTCTCCAAATGAATGACACGCAAGCTGGGTGCATTTCTTAGGAAACCATCTGGGAGCAAACTTAGCTGGTTATGGTCTAAGTGTAGAATCTCCAATGTAGAAGAGCCATTCTCTGCGTTGATAATGTCTGATATGCCACAGTTTGATAGGTAGAGCTCCCTCAAACCTGCAGTTCCAGTGAAGATGCTCCAGTCCAAGGAGTTGATTTTAGTCCTGGTGAGATTCAAGCAACACATCTCAGGAGCCAATTTGGTCTGCAGTCCCTGGAAATCAACTTCTGCGCTGCAGTTGCACGTCTCTTCCAGAGCTCCTAACACGAGTTCTCTTGATAAGAGGACCACGCCAAAGAGTATGAGTGTCCACCTCTTCTGACCTATAGCAAAAAGATGACAAGCATCAGTGATTTCTCACAGGTTACAGGCGGGAACTAGATGGCAACATTGTTCTTCCTGGTTCACTCACAGACATAACAGACAATAATCTGTGAAGTGCCATTGCCTCTAAATTGGATTCCAGTAGTTGTTCACTAAATTCACAAATAATGCATAGGTAATTTTAATACACACACACACACACACACACACACACACACACAATATTAATGTGTCTGAGCTAAATTATAATGTGAATTAGGTTTTAAAGACCCAGGAATGCCATTTTATTTAATGCATTAGCACCCCCTAGTGGCAATGTATGCTTAAACACAGTATAAAAAGGTAAAGGTACCCCTGCCCGTTCGGGCCAGTCTTGCCAGACTCTAGAGTTGTGCGCTCATCTCACTCTATAGGCCGGGAGCCAGCGCTGTCCGCAGACACTTCCAGGTCACGTGGCCAGCGTGACAAGCTGCATCTGGCGAGCCAGCGCAGCACACACGGAACGCCGTTTACCTTCCCGCTGGTAAGCAGTCCCTATTTATCTACTTGCACCCGGAGGTGCTTTCGAACTGCTAGGTTGGCAGGCGCTGGGACCGAACGACGGGAGCGCACCCCGCCACGGGGATTCGAACCGCCGACCATGCGATCGGCAAGTCCTAGGCGCTGAGGTTTTACCCACAGCGCCACAAACACAGTATAGGTTCAATTAAATTCTTAAAAGTTTTAACTGGGCTGGATTTGGGTTCATATGCCCTCTTGGGCCATAAAGAAGGCTGATCGCCGAAGAATTGATGCTTTTGAACTATGGTGCTGGAGATGGTTGGACAGTGTTATAGAAGCTACGAACATGAGTTTGACCAAACTGCGGGAGGCAGTGGAAGACAGGAGTGCCTGGCGTGTTCTGGTCCGTGGGGTCACGAAGAGTCGGACACGACTAAATGACTAAACAACAACCAAGTTATAAAGCTGTAAATTATGAAGTTTAAATGTACTCCTATCAGCCTCAACCAACAGGCTATATATATCCAGGCCCAGATTTGGACACCCTGCTGCCTGAATCTGGTCAGTAGTAGCTGCCCTTTCTCATACCAGCAACTTAGCACTTGGAGGAGAGTCATGCTGTTCACTGTGACTCCACAGTGCCCCCAGTGACAAGTGTGGTGTGATTAAGGTCAAACAGTTTCAGGTTAAGAACAGACCTCCAGAATGAATTAAGTACTTAACCCGACGTACCACTGTATCAGCTTTAGCTCACTGCGAAAGGAGCTTAGAGTGGTACATATTTGACTATTCCATTCTTGCAATTATAACTTATGAAGCCAACAACTCCATTACTTCCTAGCGTATCAATGGGAACACACACCTGGAGGCTTCTGGTGGCTGCGTGGGCTGATGAACATCACTAGTTTGTGCCCCAGCTGGTCGCTGGAGCTTATTACCATACAGGTGTAGCATCACAGAACAATATTCTTCCTTGAATAGCGGTAAGGATCAGGGACCCAGAGGCCAAAGGGTTGAGTGCTCTCCTCCTCTTATCAGCAACCAAGGGCTCTGAGGAAGACTGTGCTATACCACTGGCACCTGTACTGCTCACCAGCCATCACCACCCACCAAAATAGGCCTGGTGACCTTAATCACACCACACTTGTCACTGGGGCACTGTGGAGTCACAGTGACAGCATGACTCTCCTCCAAGTGGCTAAGTTGCTGGTATGAGAAAAGGAAAGTTCTTAACCTGAAGCACTATTTCTGGGTTAGTGGAGTCTGTAAGCTGAAGCGTATGCGACCTGAAGCGTATGTAACCTGAGGTACCACTGTACTCACTATAGGTTTCACTAGACAGGGGTTAAATTTCCCAAAAGGGCTTGTTGTCGTTTAGTCATGTCCGATTCTTCGTGACCCCATGGAACAGAGCACGCCAGGCACTCCTGTCTTCCACTGCCTCCCGCAGTTTGGTCAAACTCATGTTTGTAGCTTCAAGAACACTGTCCAACCATCTCGTCCTCTGTTGTCCCCTTCTCCTTGTGCCCTCCATCTTTCCCAATATCAGGGTCTTTTCCAGGGAGTCTTCTCATGAGGTGGCCAAAGTATTAGAGCCTCAGCTTCACGATCTGCCCTTCCAGTGAGCACTCAGGGCTGATTTCCTTCAGAATGGATAGGTTTAATCTTCTTGCAGTCCATGGGACTCTCAAGAGTCTCTTCCAGTACCATAATTCAAAAGCATCAATTCTTTGGTGATCAGCTTTCTTTATGGTCCAGCTCTCACTTCCATACATCACTACTGGGAAAACCATAGCTTTAACAATACGGACCTTTGTTGGCAAGGTGATGTCTCTGCTTTTTAAGATGCTGTCTAGGTTTGTCATTGCTTTTCTCCCTGCAGTGATCATGGAGCCCAAGAAAGTAAAATCTCTCACTGCCTTCATTTCTTCCCCTTCTATTTACCAGGAGGTGATGGGACCAGTGGCCATGATATCAGTTTTTTTGATGTTGAGCTTCATACCATATTTTGTGCTCTCCTCTTTCACCCTCATTAAAAGGTTCTTTAATTCCTCCTCACTTTCTGCCATCAAGGTTGTGTCATCTGCATATCTGAGGTTGTTGATATTTCTTCCAGTAATCTTAATTCCGATTTGGGATTCATCCAGCCCAGCCTTTCGCATGATGAATTCTGCATACAGTGGTACCTCAGGTTAAGAACTTAATTCATTCTGGAGGTCCGTTCTTAACCTGAACCTGTTCTTAACCTGAGGTACCACTTTAGCTAATGCGGCCTCCCACTGCTGCCACACTGCCGCCACACGATTTCTGTTCTCATCCTGAAGCAAAGTTCTTAACCCGAGGTACTATTTCTGGGTTAGTGGAGTCTGTAACCTGAAGCATCTGTAGCCTGAAGCGTCTGTAACCTGAGGTACCACTGTATATAATTCTGATTTGCAGGAAGTCACTCCTTTAGCATTGCAACACCTGTCCTCTGGAACTACTGACACTAGGCAGGCACCCCTTCACTATACTGTTTTAGATGCTTGCTAAATATTCATCTGTTCCAGCAAACCTATCCAGACACATAATTTAGTGCTTGCATTGGCCATCAATCACTGATTGACACCTAGCCCAAGAAAGAGACAGTTGCATCTGTTTAGTATTATAATCCTCTGAATTGAAGGAGACTTTCTTCAGGAGTGGTCTTGCATATTCTTCCTTCCTGGCAGCTGGAACCATTCCCTGTGCTAGGAAGGCATTTATAATCTCCTGAACCTAGTCCCTTTCCAGTAGCTGTAAAAAGCCATGAAACGCAAAGGTTGAACACACAAGTGCTAGGCTGGGTCTACTGAACCTTAGACTAGCATTGACCACCACCCTAAATGTTGTTGCTCTCCAACTCCCTTCAGCCACCGCCAGCTTGGCCAATGGTCAGGGATGGTGGCAGCTGTAGTCCATCAATATCTGGAGTGCCACACATTCTCCTCTCCTTCTGTAAGGAAGTCAGGAAGAAGGATCTAAGTAATTGTGTTCCCTCTAAGTTTGCCCCACAGAGCCAACCACTCCCTGCCACTTGTACTGAGGTGTCTCCCTCAGCCCTTCCTGCTTTGGTTACCTAGGCACTCTCATATGTTGATAGGGTTTCTGAAGCAACCAGACCAAATGCAAACAAAGAATTGCCTCCAAATCCCTTGCAAACAGTGATTAGCTCCATCTTTGCTGTTAACACAGCTCAGAGAAGTAATCACACTCTTGCTAAGGTGGCCTTTAGACATTATATCAGCACCACGGGAGGCATTTTTCAAGGAGTGAGTGAGCCCGTAGTACAGATATTACTCACCACAGCCTGGGCAGGGCTGAGCATGAAGACCTTTCCTTGGAATTGTTACCTGTCCTCCCAGAAGGGGTTTTGAGTCTGTGATGTGGGGAAACCCGCAAACTGGTCCCATCCATGTGGTCTTGGGGTTCAAATGGTACTGCCCCACTGTGGGATGAACCCATTGGAAAAAACAGCTCCCAAACCAGTGTTAGAAACTGAGATATGAAAGCTAGGAGCTAAATGGCACCTCAAACCTAGGTTATAGGCGCAACAACGGAATGTCTAGGCACACTTTTTTATAATAAGAATACAAAGCTGAAAATGAATGAACTGCGGCTAAAATCTTATGTTCATTTTCACATGGTCTAGTCCTCATCTGAAGACTGCAAAAAAACAAAGCCATGCTTCCCTGCCCACCAAACTAATATCCTTAAGAGGGTCCCTCCTGCAGTCTTCAGAGAGTGGCTGGAAGTGGGGAAGCAGAAAAAGGTCCTCTTCTCCTTCCACTCTGCAGACAAGCCCTGGATTCTCCTTTACCCTCTTTGCTTCATATAAATATATCTTTTTGGCACCACAATTAACACATATTAAAGGCCTATACAACTGATGGCAGAGACACCCACCTTGAGCGTCCAGTTTGCAAACCTTAGGTTTAAGGGTCCTTCAATGATCCTACTCCAAAATTTGATTTTAAACATTACTGTGAGAGTCTGAGGCAGATAACACTTTAACATGCACTACTTAAACCATGGACACGACTAAACGACTAAACAACAACAACTTAAACCATCGTAACTAACTGGCTGGTATATTTCAAATTAAAAGCACATCATACATTAAAAGTACATTAAACAAGGCAACTAAAACCTAAACAAAACATGCTGGGTTTAAAAGAAAAGAAAGTTTTCAGGTCCCCATTCCATGCACGTTTTACTTGGGAGGAAGCCCAATTGAACTCGGTTGGGACTTACTTCTGAGTAACAGTGGCAATTTTAATCTGAAATCTTAGATGCAGTACTGCACCTAAGAGCTCAGAAACTGTTTGTGTTCATTAAATTCCCTGTCGCAAAACGTGCCTAGAACAATGCGAGTTTCGAACGCTGTCCCAAACAGCTGTGATAACATTTCTCTCTGTCTAGCCTACCTCACAGGGTTGTTCTGAGGATAAAATTGGGAGTGGAAGAACCATCTATACCA